ACCAGACTCAAGGGATGGGTAAATAGACACCACCACTTATTGGAAGGCGCTAGAAATTCATATAACCAAGCAAGTGGATACAGGGACATGTGACTGGAGGGAGTATTTCCTATTAATCTATCTCATAGATATGACTGATTAATATATGATGGATTACTATATATGTGATAGGTTAATCTATATGATGGAATGATATATATATTATAGTTTAATAAGATGTATATGATAGATTACACATATTATATATACATATATATATTCCAGGTATTACTCCTTTAGAGATTCAGATGTATTATTGAAGTACCATCTCCCAAATTGCATCTGTGTTGTGATTTTCTCTGAAATTATGTTTTCATGATCAAATGTTGTTACTTTTCCTGTAATTAAATTATTCATGCCTCTTTCCTGTGGTTGATGAGTGGCATGTCTTTTCTTATATTGGGAATGTGACAAATCTTTTAATATGTTATCTTGCAAAATTGGTAATTCTCTTTACTTATAAATTAGTTGTAAATTCAAATGAATTTCTTTTTCAATGTAAAATAACAATCCAAATGCACATGGAATTTCTAAATTGATATCAAAGGGTCCCACCAACAATTATTGAAAAGCATTCACATTTGCTCACATATCTTGATTTTTTACCTCTACCATAAATGAAACATTCACAAATAATATCCTGCCTCTCTTTTGTCTTCAATTGACTTACTTTTCTATACTGTCTAAATAATGAAAGGTCTTGCTACCAGAATGGTACAACTTTTATTCTAACTCTTTATTTTATTTGATAATATTTTGATTATTCTTGACTATTTTGTTTTATGAAATTTTGAAACATCATTTTAGTCTTTGGTTGATATTGTAATGAAACTGCAGCTCAATGTGAAAAGAACTGACTTTGTGACAATATTGAGATTTTCAACCCATGATGAATTTCCAACTATTTAAATGGCCTTTTAATATATATTTCATTAATTTTGTAACATTCTCCATTAAACCATATGTATATATTTTCAAATATTTATCCATAGAATACTGAAAATTATTAAAATCTCTTCATAGCGTTTTCCTTTTTCATGGATTTTCTAATGTATAGAAATGTTAAAAGAAAAATGTAGTGAACACCTTTTACCTAGACTCATTAATTGTTAACTTGTTAATGTTTTTATTCTCTCTCTCTCTCTCATTCTATCACTATTAGAGTGATTTATTCAATTTACAGATTTATTCAATTCAATGTATTAGCAATTAGTGACATCTTCTTGATGTTTAAAGTCTCTTAAATTTACAGAGATACACTTCAAGCCTGTATCTGTTTCCTTTAAACGTGAAATTGTTAGTATTTAGACAATTCCTGCCTTGAATTATGTTGGAAACAAATGTTTGCATTATACCTGTTTATTAAAGAGATATAGAAATTCAACAATATCTATTGAACTTACTACATAATCTTACGTTATTTAAAAATTTGCCTCTAGATTCTTATGGGTCTTCTAAGTATGTGACCCTATCATGTGTGCACAATGTCAGCTCTGTTTCTTCTCTATTTTCTGTTGAGATTTTCTCTTTGTCTGCAGTTTTGTGCAGTTTCAGTATATAATATCTAGGAATGGATTTCTGCTTATTTTTCATGTGATATTCATTGACCACTTGAGTGTTCAGAGATGACTTCTATAACTGTTTAAAACTTACCAGTATTTTAAGTATTGTCTCTGCACCCTACTTTCTAATATACTTGTGGGTTCACAACTGGCAATCATGCAATCTAAAAATAATAAAAGTTTTTTATTTCTGTGATAGGTTTTTGAATTTCAGTTGACTTCAGAGGATATGAAAGCCATAGATGGCCTAAACAGAAATCTCCGATATTTTAATGGTGATAGGTAAGTTTCCTTTGTAACTGAGTGACCTAATTTATTTTTGGAGAAGAAACATAGGATGGGTGTTGAGCGTGACCTCCATACCAGAGGGACAGAGGCCAATGTGAGTCAGAGGTGAGACAGGAGCTTTCTGGAACTCTCCTGCTGGATTCACTCCAGAGCTCTGTTCTCTGGCAGGTTGAGTGGACAGGAATCAGCATGGGTCAACCTGTGCCTCTGCTCTCCTGATTCCATGGCACTTTTCAGAGCAGTCCACGTCATTGCCAAATCTGCACCTTCCGTGCAGGCCTGATGTTTCTACCACTGGGCATGCTGTGGATACTGCCCATGTCACCTCATGAGATGTTTCCAAATCTGTGCTCATATCACATTCTCCCAAACCTGCTCAGCTCCTTATCAAACCAAAACCATTTCCATCAACTTTGTGGTCCAGATGCCAATTCCCACCTCCTTCATATGGAATTGCTTGCTAGATCCTGTCAATTCAGCATCTTTTATTATTTCAAATGTTTTTCCTCCTTCTCCTTGCATGTTTGTTCATGCCCCAAACTCTGCTTTTGCCTCCAGAAAGGCTTCCTTAGGGAGTGAATAGGAGCGCTTGTCCTTGACTTCCTGCAATATGGAGATCTCAAGGCAGAGAATTTTTAAAAAATTAAAATCAAGGAAAGCGTGTGGAGGCACAAGCTCCATTGTTGTATATAATTTGTAGCCGATAAAAGATCTTCACTACTCCTTCATGCTCTAAGGTTCTAGGATTCACAGATGGTCATTCATGTAATGAGGGAAAAGCAGAAGTTATGGCCGAGCGCAGTGGCTCACGCCTGTAATCCCAGCACTTTGGGAGGCCAAGGTGGGTGGATTGACTGAAGTCAGGAGTTTGAGACCAGCCTGGCCAACATGGTGAAACCCTGTCTCTACTAAAAATACAAAAATTAGCCAGGCATGGTGACACTTACCTCTAATCCCAGCTACTTGGAAGGCTGAGGCAGGAGAATTGCTTGAACCCAGGAGGCAGAGGATATAGCAGTGAGCTGAGATCACACCACTGCACTCCAGCATGGGTGACAGAGTGAGGGTCCATCTCAAAAAAAAAAAAAAAAAAAAACAAAAAAAAAAAACAGCAGGAAGTTATGTAACTGCTGGCAGTGGAGATTTTAACAAGTGATAGGGTGAGATAGTGTGTGAAAAAGCATAAGCACGGTGGCCCTTCATAAGTGCCTAAAAATTGGTAGATTGTTAATTTTTTTTAATTTAGAGGAAAATAAAGAATAAAAAAGGAAAGCACATAAAAGAAAGGAAGAATAGTGAGCATCAGTAATTCTTATCATCAATTAAAAATGTAATAAGATGGCATTTATCTGTTCCTTTATATTTCATGTTATTTCTATATAAGAATTTTTAATGCATTGTATCTCCTTGGATATTAGACCCCATGTCATATACAACAATTTCCATTTCTGAATCTTACAAAATATATTGCATACAGTAGGCTGTAGTAGGCACAGTATAATCAGAGTATCTCTTCGCTCTGCTGACAGATGTACAGGAATATGCTTCAATATTTGACTTTGTGTGTTTTACGTGTTAACTTCCAGAGAAGGGAATATGAATAATTTATTATTTTGAAAATACATATATTATGAAGTCATGTTCATAAAGGGAAGAAAGGCAGATTCTACAACTAGTCAGAAAATAAACTTCTTAACATTCACACTAATGACAGCTTCCTAGAAATCACTTTACTACTCCCCTAGTAATTAACTTCCAGAGAAGGGACTATGGTTAATTTATTATTTTGAAAATACATATATTATGAAGCCATCTTCATAAAGGGAAGAAAGGCAGATTCTACAACTAGTCAGAAAATAAACTTCTTAACATTCACACTAATGACAGCTTCCTAGAAATCACTTTACTACTCCCCTAGTAATAGAGTCATTGCATTCATATTATACATTATTCTGTTTTCAGTCTCGCTAGCCACCCTAATTATCCATATTCAGATGAATATTAACATGGAGGGCTTTGCCTGAAGTCTACCAGAAGCCCTGTGTGTGGATGGTGATGCAGACGACGTCTCTATGCTGGTGACTGGACCCATCACCTCTTTAAATCCATTCTGCTTAGCGACTTCAGTCAACCAGAGCTAAATCCACAGGCCAGAAAGACAATAAATTTTTATCATGTTGAAATAATTGAATTTTTTCCCACAGATTCCTTACCTACTCTGTTCTGTTAAGAAAGTGTGTGTGTGTGTGTGTGTGTGTGTGTGTGTGTGTGTGTGTGTGTTTTCTTCTGGCTCAGTAGGACCAAAAACTATGATTTGCCTTTAAGTTAGGAGTGGGAGTGGGGGAATAATAACCATTTATAGACATACTGTAGTGGGACTGCAGTAGAGCTTTCAGCCTCTAGAGAAGGAGCAGGTGACAGGTGTGGACCAGTTAGTGCCTCTCTAGCTCTTTTAGGAAGAACATGAACTCTGGAAGGTGAGCAATATTGACAGGATGACCAGCAGTCCACAGGCTCCCTACAGCCGCACAAGGGCCAGAGCTCCTGGAGCCTGGGAAGGAAGCATCCCTGTGAGAGGGGTGGTCAGGGAGGTGGAAGGGCACCCACCAAGGAGAAATAATTGAAAGAAGCTACGGGGGAAGTTAGGAGAAGGGAGTCAGGCACATCTCTGCTTGGAAAATATTGGCACTTTTTTTTGATAATCATACGTTGTAAATAAAACTTTCAACAATGTTTTGAAAAACCCCAGAGCTGAGAGTCCAGCCTTGACCCTCTATGTGTGCCCTGTAACACCAGTGACCTTGGGGGACTGTGGAGGGGCAGGACATCAAAGAAACAATGAACTAATTCCTCTGAACACCAACTCTTTATTTAGCAGATTTTATTATATTCTAAATATATGCTATACGAATATACAAATATATATACATATGTATGAATATATATACTTATACATATGTATATATGTATATAATTTGCATGCATATACATAGGTATATATTTGTATATATACAATATATAATATATATTTGTATAATATATATTTGTATATACAAATATATATATTTGTATATAATATACAAATATAAATTTGTTATACTTAATTTTTATATTTTATACATAAAATAAGGTACACTATCAAATATGAAACACAAAAATCCCAAAGTCATTACATATTACTGCCAAATTAATATTAAAATGGTAGGTAATACATCTAATAAATCCAATTTTCAAAACCTCAAACATCTTTTGAAAACATTTTGTGGAAAATAGCATGATGTTTTTAAACTTTGGTAACTTTTAGAACCATCTCTTACAAAGACATGTAATTATTTTGCAGTTTTTAGGGGTATAAAGTTAATCAGCTAATTACGAGGATGCACATTTTTATTTCAGATGACTCTTTGGAAAACTTGGGACAATGTCATGGCCTACTGGTTACAGCATTTTGAGAAGAACAGTGCTTTTGACCTGTGCACACTTTCTAACACATTCACTCTCAACTGTTCTTACGCTGTTGGCCACCTTAACCCCATCAAAGAGGCTTTCTCAAGCCATGTCTCTCAGCTGATAGGCATCCCATCAAGAACCACAATCTTTTCTTAAATTATTCATTCCGGAAATTTGGAAAAGCCTTACACTTTGGAGTTCCCTATGCCAATTCTGGGGTGATTTTCTGTCTATTGTCATTCCATTGATAACCTTACATATTTTCTCGCTTTGCATACCATACATAGGCCAAGAAACCCCCAAACAGTATCTCTAGCTCTCTCACAGTTTGGAGCTTAAGGCCTGTGGCTTTTCCTGGCTGAAGTTGCAAGCTGCTAATAGATTTATAATTCTGGAATGTTGAGGGGTGAAGCCTTGCTCCCACCGCTTTGCTATGCAGTGCACCCATGGGGATACTCCGCAGAGCTCCAACCACATATTTCTACTTAACATTGCCTAAAAGAAGCTCTCTGTGGGGGCTCCAGCCTTTCAGCAGTTTCCTGTCTGGACATTCAGGATTTCTAATACATCCTCTGAATTCTAGGTGAAAAGTGCCAAGCCTCAACCACTCATGTACCACAAAGGGCTCAGGCTCCAAACTCTCCTCATCTGTTTCTCTCTCTCTACTCACGATTTCCTCCAGTGACCAGGTGTGTCTCCTGTCCCTTCCCAAGGCTCAAAGGACAAGGCGGCTAGCACATGGGGGCTTCTGTCTGACTAGCATAGGTTTGCGGAGTTGATAAGAATTCCAACTTTCCACAGCTGGTATACAATCTGGTGAAAAAATCTGATCTCAGGAGACCACAGGAATTCTCAGTCTTATGAGAAGAACATGAGGACAGGGACATGGGAGCCAGCACTCACATTGAAACTAACATAAATTTTAAAATAAATAAATACAAATTTATATTGGCAGCAGTGTTTGTCCTGAGGAGGTTCCTTGTTTTGTTGACTCAATTCTCTGGGTTGAGAGGTTTCTATGTGAACAATAAGGGGTACACTTGAACCTCACAGAGGTTTGTGGGTGAGGGCTGTGGAGGCTAACAGTCAGTTTGCATTGTTGTGGAAACAGTCGAGCAGCAGAAGCTGTGCCAGGAGGGAATAGGAAGAACAGGTATGCTGTGGAGGAGGAGGAGGCACTGTTGACACCCTGGGAGGAAATTTTTGGAAAAAGCCAGAGATTCCTAAGTGAATATATAGGAAATTTTAATTATAACACTGGATAAAATTTACAACCAATGAAATTTTAAGTAAAACCAACCTTGCTCATAGTGTTTTCATAGAATGAACTCTGTCTGAAGAGACAACTGTGTCTAGAACGTTGACTCACAATAAGTGGTGGTTCCACTGAGCACTTTTTGAGATCCCTGCCTCTTCTGCACTTTTTGTTATTTTAATATTTAGCAATACTATAGTCAACCCCTGCAATCCACTGGGGCTCATGCTTTCAGTGTGACTCGGCAGTTTTAATAGATTCTGACTAATCCTGAATTGGGACAAAATGCAGGGGATATTTTAAAGAGAAAATTATTAACTTTTATATTTGTTTTGGTTAGCCTAAAACCATGTCAAGAAAACAATTTATGATTAGTTTAAATTTAATAGAAATCTGTTACGACCATAACAAGAAGTCTGAGGGAGGGCAAGTTCTAAGTGTTGTCCCTTGGAGTCCAGAACTTCTCTCATCTTCTCCTGACTCTTATTCTTCTTCTGTGTATTGATGTTATCTTCAGGCTGGGTGGAGGCTGCTGAAGCAATTTCAGAACTCACGCTGCAGCAGGACAAGATCTACTTGCAGAAGAAAGGCCACCTTATTTTAAAAATTTCTTCCTAGAAGTGAGGAATCTTTCCTAGAAGCGCCTAGCAGGGTCCCTCTTATGTGGCATTGGCTAGGACTAGATCACAACAGCTCTCTTCCCACTGTAACCGCATGCCAAGGGCAAGAAAACTGACATGAGTGACCTAAACAGAACTTTTGCAGCAGAACACATGTCGATGAGATTACAATGCTGACCCCTAAAACCCTAATAAGAAATTGATGTGTTTCAAAAAAGTTAGACATTTCCAATATTGCATCTATTTCTAAATTGCTTGGCAAGGTTTTAAAAAAACTCAAAATAAATTAAAGTTTTAAATGTAAGAACTGAAACTAAAGTGCTATAAGAAAATGTAAGGAAAATTCTTTGGGTAAAAATTATAACTAAATTTAGGGAAATAATTCAAGAGTATGACCTCAAAAACACAAACCAGAGAATAAAAACAGACATACATAGCTTATTTAAACAAATAGGCTTCTGTAAATCAAAAGAAATAATCAAAAGGGTGAACAGACAACTTACAAAATGGAAGAAAATATTTACAAACTGTAAATCCAAAAGAAAACTAATATCAAAAATTCATGGCCAGGTGTAGTGGCTCACGCCTGTAACCCCAACACTTTGAGAGGCTGAAGTTTGTGGATCACCTGAGGTCAGGAGTTTGAGAACAATCTAGCCCACATGGTGAGACCCCGTCTCTACTAAAACTACAAAAATTAGCCAGGAGGGGTGACTCATGCCTATAATCCCAGGTACTTGGTAGGCTGAGGCATGAGAATTGCTTGTACCTGGGAGGTAGAGTCTGCAGTGAATTGAGATTGTGCCACTGCACTCCAGCCTGGGTGACAGAGCAAGACTCCATCTCAAAAGAAAAGAAAATGATAAGAAACTTAACTAAACAACAACAACAACCCAAATAGCCTCTTTTAAAATGGGCAAAGAGCAGAGGTTTCCCAACTTCATGCTTAGGCGTACCTCTAGGAACTTGATATATGCCCACTGAACCTTCTACCTCCTGCTGGTGCTTGTGTCTGCCATTGTGTAACCTGTAGGCGGGCCTTCTCCTTGGCTAATCAGGAAGATTAGATGGCTGTGCCTTCCACAGGTCAGATCATTGTCTTATTACACAGATAGTTTCTCTCAGTTAGCAAGGATCAAATATATATGCATGTCATGAGGGTTTGGTGTACAGATTATTTTGTCACCCAAGTACCAATCACTTGAATACAGAGTCCCTTACCCAGTGCTTGTTTTTATTAATTGTCAGAAATCAGATGATTGTGATTGTGCAGCATTACTTCTGGGCTCTCTATTCTGTTTCATTGATCATGTGTCTGTTTTTGTACAAGTGTCATGCTGTTTTCATTACTGTAGCTTTTCAATATAGTTTGAATTTGGGTAATGTAATGCCTCCATCTTTGTTCTGCCTTGGCTGTTAGACTCTTTATTGGTTCCACGTAAATGTTAACATGGTGTTTTTTTCTAGTTCTGTGAAGAATGTCATTGATAGTTTGATGGGAATAGCATTAAATCTGCAAATTGCTTTGGGAAGTATGGCCATTTTAACAGTATTAATTCTTGTTATCCATGAGCATGGAACGTTTTTCCATTTGTTTGTGTCATCTCTGATTCCTTTGAGCAGTGTTTTATAATTATCATGGTAGAGATATTTCCCCTCCGTGGTTATCTGTATTCCTAGGTATGATGCTCATTTACCATTCCAACAATCCTAGGGCACACACACACACACACACAGGTACACACATATACATGGAGACATGGACACAGGCACACACACATACACACACAGGCACACACTTGCATACATATACACACTAGTATACACACATGCACACACACACAGGCACACACACATACACA